GGGGAAGCTTTAACAGGAAAATAGAAAACAGAGTCTCTTTCTTTTTTTAATCAAAAAAGTAAAGCCTGAGCTAAAGTCCCTGAAGATTACAAGACAAGCTTCAAACCCAGAAACTTCTTGACTTCCTGCCAGCATTTACACAGTAAACACATCTACTTTCACGTTTTTCTCTGAAAACCAACTTGGTTACAAAAAAATAAAGCTAAGCTCAGTATCCACACATCTAAGCAACAGATGTGGCCCACAGAGTCCGATGCATATTTATTTATTAACAGTGACTCACATCCATTCATGAAGAAAGGACATGGGGGTATTGCTGCCCTATAGTCTGTGAATCATGATCTGAAGTTGGGTTACACACAGGGAATTTCAACTAGCTGCCATGTAAGCTCAGTTTCATAATTTACATAGCTTTGTGTTCCTCTATTTAATGAGTTTTTCAGGGACTTCAGTGAAAAGTATACAGATCTCAAAATAAGCAAACAAATACGTTTTCAGTAGTAGCAATTCTTAATTTTCTTCTCCAGGGTTGGGTATCCTCTTATACCAGCTGCTGCACCCTACACTCCTGTCACTGTCTATGCCCACAGCAGCTGCTGAGTCCATTCATTCTACCATGTCTCTGCTCCGCACTGATTACTGCAGAGCAAGAGGCAGTGCTGAAACCTTCTTAGCATCCCAGAGAGAAAAAGACTGAGTCATGATTGGCTCTTTTCTTTGGCTTTTTTTCAGTGGAAATTTGGAATTTTCAGGAAATGATTAACTCACCTGAACATCTAGTGACATCAAACTACTGAATACACTTAGTATATTATGAATGTATATTTGAACCACAATGTACCTAAGACAAAGCAAAGAATTAAATGCTTCTGCGAACATCACATTCTTTGCTTCCTCCTCAAGGCAAGCAGGCTCATAAGAAGAAAATCAGAGCCAAATCTACAGCCAAGCTTGCTTTCTTTTCAGCAATGAACCTCACAGATTTGCTTAATTAAAGCCCATTTTCCAAACAGGGGAAGCTAAAGTTTGGGGTGGGTGGAACTTCTACAGAAAATTAATTATGCTACCACTTTCACCATTTCAAAAATTAAACATCCACTTCCTCTTGATTTAGCTTTCCCACAGTTCATTCATCAAAAAGCAGATGACAAATATGTTACCTAACAAAAAATTAGAGGCGGTCAAGCTCTTTCTTCAATAGGATAAAGTTTATTAACATCATTTATTAAAACCATTTGGAATATATTAATATTATGGTGACAGCAGATGTTATAAATGTTATATGGACTACGATGCCTAAGTAGGAACATTAACTTCAGATTAAAAACCCACAATTTATATAATATGCGTTTATTTCAGTGCTAGATTGAACATCAGCTTTCATCTGTGTATTTTTCCCAATGACAAAAAGTTCAACTCATAACCAAATAATATTTTTTTCTCTCTGGATTTAAGACTGACTAGATGAGATACTCTCCATGTTCTGCCCCTCATCCAAGCCAACATTCAGCTGCAGAGTCCACCGTGGTAGTTCCCACGGTATTTATTACATGCTGCTACATTACATTTTATGGAGCAGAAGCTTTCAATGCTCTGAAAAGAAAACTGGTGACACACCAGGTGTTGCAAGACTCTTTCTGACCACCTTGGGACTAGAGTGCACTTGGAAACAAAAGTACACTCTCTATTTAAAAGGCAAGAAGCAGATCAACAAACCTTGAGGCTCAACAGAACTCGCAATCCAGTGTAAAATTCCTTTACAACTATTTAAGATCATACTTTCTTACTATTCTCCTTAATTTAAAGGAATTGTCTTGTAGAGCAGCCTCCATTTTTTTGTGGTCATCTAACTCATTTGACTGAACACCTTAATCTGCTGGATATAAAAATGTTCAGATAACATTTCCATTTATTTACATGCAGTGACAATATTTAACGTACTGCTAAAATCAATTACTCAATATATACGTTAAGCAGAACCTACTCCCAAATCCCACTGAGACATTGTAGCTCAGGCCTTCAGGCAGCAAAAGAAAGGAAGGAAAGAGACAGTTGTTATTGTATAAACATTAATATGATGTCTTACCGACACAGACCAACAATGGTGCAAGAAGTTCCAACTGTTTCATTTTTTTTTAATACATTTTGCAAAGATTAGAAACGCTGCATTTATTAGCGTATGAATATCATGGAACGCTATTTTTGAAGAAAAAAACTACAGTACCTTAAACTGGTGAGTTTATGATACACATTTGTTCTAAGATACAAAACCACATTAGCAGGGTCTTAGACAAATATTTCACCTGCATCTTTTGGAGAATGTGTGGAGGGACAAATGCACTAAGTACACTAGGTGACTAACCGAATGGTATTCCATGGAAACAGATTTGTGACCTTCAGTTCTGGAAAGCATCAGGAAGAGAGCCAGTTCTAGAAAGGTGACTGAGAATGCCTACAATGGGCAAGCTACAGTGGAAATACACCACATCAGGCCAAACAGTTGAACAGCAATTGTATGTCACAAGGTCTCTTCAGCTTTGTTAAATGTCTTCTTCTAGATGGAAAGGTTAGGTGGAAAACACAGAGACAAAAAACTACAAAACTACACTATCTCCCACTCCCAGTAGCACTGATAGGAAGCCATAAACAGCAAAACCTAATGATGCAAATACCAACAATAGAGTAGCATAATTTACAGTGGTTAAAGAAGACACAATTAGGTGTAATGGGAAGAAGAGAAGCAAAAAGTAAATGTAAATTAAATATTGCACATTTTCCTAACAGCGAGGTCTATTAGGAAGCAGATTAATCTCCCATTACTTGAGTAATTCAAACCCAAATACAATACTTAAGATGCTACAGGGAATAAGCCTGTTCTGGGGAGATGGACTAGAAAATTTAAGATCATTTACATTTCCAATTTCTCAGAGTTTATGATTCTACAGAAAAACATTAAAAATACGGTGATAAAATCCATGGAAGTTACAAGAAGTACAAATTTAGTAAATAAAATTTGTTGAAAAGCATAATGGCCAATATCCTTGTGTATCATATTACACAATTGTTTAAATAAAATAGTCCCTTTTTTTGCCTGCATACTATAGAGACAATTTGATTATTTCCAGTATTTAAAACTTTTTTTTTTTTTTAAGTATACTTATTTGACTCGCGAGTTTAAAGAGGCTAGTGATTTTTGGTTTCAGCTTAACATTTATTAGAGGTTTCTAATTTTGCAAATGTGCTGAACAGTACATTTGTGAAATCACTGTCATTAAAAAAATTATAGCCAAGCTTTTCTTAAATGCAAATATACCCTTGAAAACTAAATAATGTAAGCTGTTCTCTTGAATTTTTACTAACCTGGAAGACTCCACAAGCCAGCAATTTCCAAAGTTCTTAATTTCTTTTCTAGTTCTGCCACTCGATTACCTAGAATTCTTCAGAAAAAGAAAATAAAAACAAAAGCCAGGGATAGTGAGCTAAAATTCCTTGTTATACTAAGGTAACCAAAGCCCAATTGCTTACAGGACTACAGTTCAATTTTTAACCTGTTACTTAACTCGTGCCGTATGACTGTATCCAGTCATTTCTTTTCACTATAGAATGGACAACCTTCCCCAGAGTTAAAAGAAAATTAAATATAGTTGTCTAATCTACCTCATATGTTGGTTTTGGGTTGTTGTTTTTTTTTTTTTAAATAAGGTCTAGGATGTACTGGACATTCAATCTTTGTCCTTTGGTAAAGACAAAGAATAGCAAAAATAGCAACTCACAATATTCCAATCTCCTTGCCTGCAAATATTTCTTCCTGTTACTTTTACTTTCTCTACAGTTAAAATCAGAAGGTAAAAGCTATGCAGAAAAAATATGGAAAACTCAAGACAACATTGAGATTGATTTTGAAGTCCTAAGACACAATTTTGGCCTAGTCCTTTATTCGCAGAAGTTTCTCCATCACTACAATTTCTTAAAACGACAAGGAATATCTTTTCCACTACATCTTTTCTTCTAATGCTGAACTCTGTTTTCTACTTTAATAAAAAGCTTCAAGCTCTTTAGTGCCTTTATCACCCACTCTTAGTTTTCAGTGCATTTCTTGGGTCATCTCTTCTTTTGTATCTGATTCCTACACAAATACTATTTGCAGTTAGCTCTTCTGCAGGATTTAACTTTTAGTCTTAATTCTCTCCCCAGATCAAATGAGAGATTGCTATCTTGCAAAGAAAGCTCTTTTTTTTCCAATGAATTTTGAAGTGTTTCTCTCACAGGCACAGCAAGTCTCCTAGAGTCAGAAGCCTTTAGATAAATCCCAAACAATACCCAATAGAGTGAGAAACCTAGACACAGCAGCAATTCTAAACATGACAGCAGAGATAATGGACAGCAAGTTTTACCCATCAAATTACAGCAACAGGATAAGTCAGTTAAATGCTGAGAAGCAGCATATCACAACACAGAAAGGCAATAGTATCTTCCCATGCTCACCAGAGCTGTGTACTACTGCACTGCATGCTCTCTAGTGAGAGTTTTTATGCTGCAGACATTTGAGTATACTGGGAATGTCATTACTGACAAGATGGCAGCGTCTGGGAAGGACGTGAAGAACAGTAAACCCAGCAAATATCAAAGGGGCTAGAAGAATTGATTAACACGGACTAAGTATTTTTGAAATCTCTACTGTAAGGGCTTGCAATGACACAATAAAAGTCTGTAAGTATTTTAAAGATTACAAAAATAAGATGAGAGAGGGAATGTAAAAGAGAAAGCTTATAATAAATATCAAAGAAAGCACTGAGAGTTACAGGGGTGTATATCAATTAAAAAGCAAACAGTCCATCACATTTACAAGCAGAGTAGAGAAGACATTTGGGAGCAGTTATGTTTATTTCCCCACTGAAAGTCAGTAATCAAATAGGTTACCAAGGTTATGATTGATCTATTAGTCTTCTCCAATTACAAGCAAAATTGGTCAAGTCTAGATTTTGCTTTCAGAATGCTTCCATCTGGTATGAGAGATTCAGCCTTAATAACTCTATTTTCATATCACAGCATATGTGCCGACATCCAGCAATTGCATTCTGCAGTACAAAGCAACAGGTAACGGAGAAAGGCATAGAGCAACCTTCAAGAAGCTCTACCTTGCACACAGGGAGCCCACTCTAACCTCCCTGTCTAAGGTCCCATCAAGGGTAGCTGAGAACATGGAGTTCCCCTGGCTTACAGGGGCAGGAACAGACAGAAATGATGCAAGACTTCTTCTGTGTCATGTTACCTCAGCCAGGGAGACAACAAAAGAATGTTGATTTGGCTAATGATTGTCACCACAAATGGATCATCAGTTTAGGACTTCTACCAGGAAAAGAAAAAAATCCTTATTATTTTTGTAAGTAGTACACCAGTAGATCCAGGACAGAAAAGAGGGGAAAGATACTGCCCTCCCTGGCAGCTAGTCATATCACAGAAGAAAACTCAACCCTTTGCATCAAGTTCAGTTATGGGTACTGCTCTTGTTATTCAGACAACAGCAAAGCCACTTTTCACTTACTTCTCTTAAATTCTATAATTATCAGTTGTACCACGCTATCTCTAAAAGGTTTTGGAGCAAATATATCTTGGTAATTCCTACTGGATCCCCAGAAGAGACCCTAAGCTATTTTTTAACCTTTGTCACATAGAAGGATAATTCTGTGACTCTGAACAATGGTTGACAAAAAGAGAGGACAATACTTAACCCTGCTTCTTTCATTCAAGGAGACAGCAAACAACATTCAGGGATGAATATGATTCCAGTTTGTTTCAAACCACATTATCTGAAGACAGGTGTGGGAGAAATGAACCCTGCATAAAACTGCAAAATCTTATAGCAGTTTTTGAAAAATAAATGTGTAAGCAATCCTGAACACAGTGTGGTTTATCTCATTCCTTCCTTTCCCGTGTGACCTCCAGATAATTTGCCACCTCCATATGTACTGTGGGAAGCTGTGGTGGCCTGGAAGAGTATATATTTTTAAAGGGGCTGCATGAGTTGGTAGCATTAAATTCCCTATTTTTTTTTTTTTTTAATCTCTAGGCATAGTGGACCAGATCTTTGACTAAAACAGAAGGATCATGTCATGGACAACTCTGTTGACAGCTATTTCTGTTTTGATTCTGGTCATGTGTCTAATGCAACAACAGAGTTAGTCTAAACTCCCCTCCAGGATTATCCTGTAAGGTTTTACAGAAATCTGCTGTTCATGTAACAGCAGCAATGCTCTCACCTGAATTTAGAAGCTCTCTTCTGGCTCTCCCATGCTTCCCAACATACATGGCCATAATCTGAAGGGAGCTCTACTGATTATATCACCTGAGCTCTGTTCACCTCTATTTTAACTTAGATCTTGCTACAGAAGACATATAACCTCATAAATCATCCAAATACCTGTAAATAGGGTCCATCACAGTCACATATCTAGTTCTGTACATCACATGGAAACATTTACTCAGTTACAGACTAACACAATCCTTTTTGTAATTTTGGTCATGACTGAGCTTGACCAAGTTAGAAAAGTTAAAATTAGTGCAACATGTCTAAGTAGCAGAGCAGCTTCTACACTGATCTGGCTTGCACGGGTCCTGGCAATTTCAGGAACAAATTACACTAAAAAGAACATCTAATAAATGGTTTACTCCTGCAAAAGAAAAAAAGATTTTTATCCACTTGCTAGGCAAGGTTAAGACTGTTTATTTTTACATTTATGTAACTATTTATTCTTGCAACACATTACTGCATATAGAATTCATTTACAACTGCCTTTTCAAATTAAGCTAATGTACTTGTGAGGAAAAACATAGGATGTTACTCAAACTTCGCAGTAGTAGCTACCAATCAGCTGGGGAAAATGAACTGTTTTCTTCCCAAACAAGTTTGGGTTTATGTTTGTTTTTTTTTTTTAAAGTGGTGGTAAAAAAAAAAAACAACTGGATTTAGCCTACTCGTTCCTAGGCACATACTCCCACACCTTCTTTTATCATGCCACATATTCAGAAAAGCAGCAGTAATAACAGTGTGGCTGTTCCAAGAGAAAGTGGCAACGGATGTTTTTAACAACAGTATAACAGCAGAAAGTCAACTTCGACAGTACATCTAAATTCTAACCTACGTGAAAAAAACTCCTATCTTGTTATTGCTTCAGTTAATCAGAAAGTAAATCTACCATTCTGCTATTGTAAACTTACATAGCCATATCTCAATCTGCAACCAACAAAAGATGTTTTGACTTCAGAGTAGGTTAACTGGAGGAAAACAAGTTCATACAGTCTAAAAAGTCTCATTTACTGATAATAGAATCACTAATACGTCAATCATCTATCAAATATCAAAGCCAGAATTTCCTCCCTGAATGAAACAACCACCCAAAATCTCCTGTTCTTTACCCAATAAATCTCACTTCCTTCACACAACAATCTCAAAGAGTAACTGTGTCTTTCAAACATACTCTTTGCACAGGGAAAGCCAGGCAAACAGGACAGAGTGGTGAAGAACATGACTTCTACCTTCTGATCTTTAGTCATTACAATTCTCTCTAGCTCCATATTCTTCTCAACTCCCTACCTTGAATGAAGAAATGTCTTCAACAGAAAAATGCATCTTCTACTGTACCAGTTTGTGGACCTGTCTGTTTTACTTGTGCACTGACCTCACTCTCACCTCCAACCTTCTGCAACAGGTTTCTTCCCCATTATGACAAGTCAGCAGTCTTTACTTGTAACTTTTTACATGGCAAATAAGTGCTCCCAAGAACCTGCTAGTGCACCTCAAATGAAGTATGTCCTACCTGCATTTCCCTTTTTCACTTTAACTCTTCTGTGTCTTAGGTGTTTCTACTTGAAGTAATTTACATTCTTCCTAGCTCTTTAAAAGCTTCTTTAATCCAACTAAACATAAAAGTGTCAAAAAGAACATGCATATCACATAGGAGTGTTGCTGAGTTTCTTCTCTCAGCTTGCTCAGGATTTATCTTTATTTTTTTTCCCCTGAAGCATCCTGAACTGAATATACCACTACAGATCTGTGCACACTCCTGACCTGGGAGGGATGTATGTCACCTCCCTCTAAGACTTGATGTTCTATTGGGCATAGAACACCAGTTTGTGCAGGCATCCAGTCTCTAGTTCCGTGGCTACATACGGCCAGCTGGACATGCAGATAGAAGAATCATACCTCGTTGTGAAGGCTTATCTCAAGAAAACCCATACTCAGTAGTTGAAAGCAGAGACAGTGGTATCAGAAAGTGAAGCCATCATTGCAATGATACATTTGAGAGATGCAAGAGGCTGCACATGATCAAAGAGAAATACAAAATTAAGACAGAAGTTTGCTACAGTTACAGGCAAGAGTATGCTGACTAGAACACCAGGTAATGATACAGCATCAGGATGCAAAAGGCAAAGATAGGTTATACCTGGAGTAAGAAAAGTTGTTCTCTGAATGTTTTCTTTTTGATGTTATATCAGCAGTAAGAAGGGAGTACACTGGTGTTAGCAGTTCATTAGCACAGCTCAGTGCAGTAACTCCTCTTGCATTACATGACACATTTAGAGCATGAATTGACTGAGCTGCCATCAGTTAGACCTGAGCTACATTTTCATCACTTTAGTGTCCCTTTAGCTGATTAGGCATTTACTTTCTCAAGAGTATTAAGAGTGGCTATACACTGCTCCTCCACTTCTGTTGCCACATCACTAAGAATTATGCAATGGAGTCTGCCTAGCATCAGAGTTATCAATTTTCAAAATGAATCATCTATTGTAGTGTAATAAAGTTTACTTCAGTACTACTCCTTCTTTTCATGAAAGATGTCTGCCTGTTTGTGGCATTTGGTCCTGATGTGCTTTTGAGAAGCCTGAATAACCTCTGATTACCAGTAGTGACTCAGTGCTTAAAAAAAAAACCAAACCAAAACTGAGCACAGAATCAAGGAACACTTCCTAGCTCTGATTTTCATATACTGTATAAGGACAATAATATCAGAATGTCAGAAAATGTGTCAAAAATTATTCTGCCATGATAGGAGCTGTGCCAGACACAAGGAATTCTACTGATGAGCAGAACAGCTAAGAGTAAACAAATTCTCCTTGAAAGTTCAGTTCAGATTTTTTTAAAAAACATCATATAGTAGCAATCCAACAGTGTTTATCTCCTACAACTTTTGGCAAGGTAACTATAGGAGCAACTGTTATCGTTTGTATGACATATAGGCCGCTAGACTGTGACAAACATTTTCAGACCCTTTCCTAGGTGCAACATTTACTATTCCCATCAGTGTTCATTAGCAAATTTCTGTATTAACAACAAATATCACATATCTTCTCCTCCAATTCAAGAGTGTCCTTCCTCCCGGCAGCTTTTCTTTAGCCCTCCCTACAGACTACCTGCTAGAAGTCCCCCCTGGGTTATTATGGTTTGTCTTAAACCTGAGCAGCAAACCAATCCTTGCCTAGCGGAGACAGACAGGTCTCTGTCAACTCCAGACTTTGAAAATGTAATTTTTCTCTAAACACATACCTGATCTTAAAAACTAAAGAAATTACCAGTTAACAATGACAATGAATTTTCTGTGAAAATGGATCTTCTTTCCTATTTCCCTGAAACTCCCCCAAACTATGACTTTTCCATAACTTGATAAGTTCTATTTCACTTAAAAGTCATGCTACCTACTTGTTGGTTTGCCTTTGGTGTTGTATGACCATGTTTTTTTCATGGATAGTTTCCAGCAATGCAGTGGCCAGTGATTTGAGATCTGAAATGGACTGTGGTGTGGCTGGTAGGCTACATCCATGATCCTCCGACAACAGCTCTTGGACTGTAATGTTAAAAAAACAAATGAGTTTTGGCTTCTCATGCACAGAGATGTGACACAAACATTTACTTCACATTACAGAACTATTCCCATTACTTAATACTTTTTTTTTCTTTCAATTAACAAACAAAGCCAAGAGACGAGAAATATAATCTCTAGCAGGCCTAAAGATGATGGCTTTCTAATCTGATCGTTATTCCCACAGCAATTGCCAGAACAAGTACAGGCAGACATATCTTACGTTAACTTAAATCTGCTTTTTGAAAATTATTTTTGTTCAGAAGGAACAAAACTCATTCTTCTATGGGCCTACAGATTGGTAAAAATCAGTAATTTCTCTCCGACCTGTATTAAAACATAAGCCCACAAGGAAGCTTTCATATTACTTTTTAGAATTATTATATCCTTCAGGTTATTTAATACTGATGTGAAAATAGTCACCCATGAACTCTTCCTCTACAGCTTAGAGCCTGTACCTCCCAACCAGACCAGGAAGTTTACTACTATCATTAATTTTGGTAACTAGACGCTGGTTCTTCCTCTTTTTGTATATGTATATGTATATGTATATATGCATGCATGCAAGTACACAGAGAAGAGGACAGAAGAGAAATCAAAACCAGAAAATCCAGTTTCAGCCTACCATGACAAATACTACTGATCTTGTATGTGTGTATGAATACACCAACAACTAAACAGTAGGATGACAGGTATACTCTTTGGCTCAAAGAATTTTCTCTTCCCCTTTCTTTCCTGATCTTGATATTTTCTTTGAAGGGGGAAAAAGAGATTATACCATTTCACTACCCATGAAGAAACATGGGACAAAAGAATTTCTTGCAAAACATCTAAATGTAAAAAGTTTACAAGAACATTAACAGAAAACCTCAATTAGGGACACTCCCCTACCACCCAATCTATTTTTCATTGAAATACGCGTTGTGATTATCATTGTTAGCAGAGCAAAGAGATGAATAAAGAAGTGATTTGTCAGGGTTAAAGTTGCAGAGGGGTTTAGAGCTTAAAAAATAAATTTTTTTGATAAAACGAACAGGGCAGAGAATGAATGGCAAAAGAGTAACAAAAGGAGAAACACTTGAGAGGCAAATTTTATATTGTCAAGTAAACTGAGAAAATGACAAAAATTAGCACATAATAATAAACGGGAAAGACAAAAAATATTTTGGTTTGGTTGGTGAGTAAAGGGTTACTGAAATTAAGAGTAAGGTGGAAGGAATTCAATGAGATACACCATTCCGCATTTAAGTAATACCTTGCTTTGCAGACAGGACTCCAGTCAGAGCACTGCTACTGGATCTACTATGAGTCTTTGAATTTTTTCGTCTCTCTAGTGCGTTCTAAGGAAACAACAAATATCTTATTTAGAAAAACAGTAGCCCACGAATCTTTTAACTAAGAGTAAAGAATCTGGAACTTTGGATTCTGGTCTTCGAACAACTCTGGAGGGCCTGTAACCTATGGGAGTGTGACTCTCCTGGAGTATTATTCTCTAGCCAAAACTGTCTTCGCAATGTTACAAAGACTCATTCTATCCCACTGTAATCTCTATATTGTAGTCTCTCCCACCCACTTCCCCCAATGCATTTTTAATACTTGCCTATTTTTTAATAATCTGTTGAGTGCCAGTGAAGATACTGCAGTATCCTGTAGAGAATATCAGTTGGGAACAAAATCAGACTTTTCCCAGCATTTCTTTGGATAGGCTTCAAAACACAAAGCTCAGACTCCTCTATCAGGGCTTCTAGAAGCCCTTTTAATAGCAAATATTGACTTTCAGGAATTAGTAGTAGAATCATCCTGCTACAGAAGTCCAGCTCTTCCAAAACAATTATAGTTTTGTGAAACCTGCTAGACCACAAAGACTCTCAGTTCTTACCCACAAACTAACTCACACTCCAAGAGACCGAAATTGTAAGTGTGAACAGACACTAAAATGAACTTGGTACTTCAAGGAGCGTTGCTCATGCTGTGAACAGACACTAAAATGAACTTGGTACTTCAAGGAGCGTTGCTCATGCACAAAAAGTCTCTGCTGTGACTGCTTCATAGTGGCCTAAATGGCTAAGTCCTATTGACAGTCCTAAAACAACCCTTCTCATGCGCTGACAAGCAGCCCTCCCCTCTCACACCCAAAATTACTTGCAGAAGAAAATAGAGTGCTTGAGTTCAGGGAAGAGCAAGAATATTTTGCCCTCAAGATTCAGTCCTGAAGGTTTCATGCAAAACAGCATATATCTTAACCCAGGAACAGAAGAACAATGAAGACTTAGTGATCATTAAGACACATGAAGAAACAGTGCTGCCCTTAGGGGACAGGGAGACATGACCTGCTTTGACTGCATCTGTGCTGCTGTCACTTCACCACACTCTGCCTGACCTGCTACTTTTCACCTATCAGCAGGCTGGAAGGCTGATCACCCCACCCCCAGCAGGAGGAGGGTTCCCCCACAGAAGTTTAAAAAAATGTATTGAATTAATTTTTTCAAAATACTCTTAATGGGTATCCCTTTGTACTATGTTGGTAAAGAAGCCTACAAGGAAGATGGAGCATGTTATATGTACACATATTAATACTGTCAGAATGTTAATGGCGGATTCTCTTTGGAAGACACAACTTTGTTCTTTAAATGCATATGAACATGAGGATGAACAATGATCTCCATGAATAATGAAGCACAGTTTAGATAATACACTGAGAGGATCCTACCTTATATTTAGTAATATTAGACTTAAGAAGGTTGACTTCCTCTTGAAGTTGTTTTAATCTCTCTTGAAGATACCTGAAAAAGAAATGTAATCCTTTACTTCATGCTACCTTCAAGTACTGCCTCAAGCGTCCCTCTTTACTTTGGCATGTTCTCTTTTTGAACTACTGAGAGTTCTTTTCCCTCTGCAGTTCTGTGAGGGATAAAATAACAAAATCTTACTGCTCTTGACCCCATAAAATTTTAAGTAGGGAAACAAATTGCATCAGAAAAGGAGGCTGCCCTTCTCTTAGATTTGTCAAACACGCTGCACAACCATTTTATATTGGTCCTCAGGTTTTTGGGGAGAGAGGAGAAAAGGATATATTTATGTCTAGAGGAAATAGTCAGGAAGCATTAACTCATGTCCTCTGTACTTGAAGGTTTGTGAGATGGACACATGAAGATTTGTATATATGTCAACACAAGACCCAACTATGCAGAAATTTTGCATTGCAATATCCATCACTTATATGGCACTTCTCATTAGCAATCACAAAGTAGAAAATTTAACAGTATAGCTGAAAAATGGTATACAGTTAACTGAAACAGTACAGTTCTTCCTAATAGAATTTATGCACTTGGATTAGATGGCTATTTATACATAGGAAAATATTTTTTTCATGTATAAAGGGTTTATAAAATATCCTCTTTCATGTAGCGTTAACTGCAGCTGTATTGGGGTTTGTGACAATTTAACTATTTTAGAGAAAAAAAAAAAAGTCATACCACTGTCAGGGGAGCAGGGGACTTAAAACTTATACAAAACTCTGTAGGCCACACAAAACCGAAAAAAACCCTGCAGTTGATGGGAGGAACTAATGCCTTTGGAATTACACTTTCCTACCTGAAGCACAGGTCTCTATAAATGGAAAGTGTTTTACAAGATCTATTTCACTTTAAGGTAATTGTTGACATTAAGGGAGGTACCTGCTATGACTCTGTCAATGACTCCTCCCTGTCATCCTTAGCAGAGACCATAAAACACATTCTCTTCCCAAAGGAAGTGGTAAGAATATCTGCATGGCTGATTTCACCAACAACTTTTGTTGGCAAATCACTTCATGTTGACAACCTCTCCCTGTGGTGAGAATTATGTCCGAAACTGTTAACTCCGGGTACTCAAAGTCCCTGCTTCCAATCCAAGATTAGCCCATACAGCCCACTGAGTTTCTGAAGATACCAACTTTTAATATTCTTGCTTTTGGTTCTGTACAGTGATGGGCATAAAAGGTCTGCACTTCTCCTCCTTTTCCCTGTTTATCTCTGTTTGGGAATATCACTGACATCTCTGTAGCCAAATAAAACATTTTTAATTTTCTGCAGTTTAACTTTCTCAATATTATTTGATGGTTAGCTACAGTACAGACAAAACAGACATAACAAATTGCCAAAATCTCTTAACTTTTATTCTTAGGTATATTTTCTTTAAAGTTTTGTTGTGAATGACTTCCTGATGCTTCTGTTAAGGCAATACACTGCTTCTTCTAGGGAAACAGTAAGGTTTGCAATGCACTCACCTGTTCTCCATACATAAAGCATCTACATCGATGATACGGTTTTCATGTCCTCCTAAGACATGGTTAAGTTCTTGGTTCAGTCTGTCAGACTTATCTTGGTAAAAAGAGCGTTCCTCTTTCACATCCTGTAACTCATCCAGTGCAGCCTGAAGATCATATCTCAGCGTCTCAATCTGAGAAGAAAGGAGGGCTGTATGACTATTTTGAAGTTTAAACAAAAATATTACATAGCACCCAAACTGAAAACAGCAACAAGCACTGCATGTCTGAACAGGACTGATTTTAGACAGTCAAAAGTCCTTCCAAAGGTCATAAGCCTCAGTACCTTTACTGTATTTTGGTATTACTTCATTAATTTGAAATTAAGTAATTTTAGCAGTTAGACATGTTTTACAAAATTTCTAGAAAACAACTAAAATGTAACAGCAAAACAAACCTTAATCCATACTATAATTCTGCTACAAACATAGGAAACTGGTTTTAGCATGTAATTTCTAGGACTCCAGGAATTAATTCAACCGAATAAGAATTTGGCAAATTTTGAAGATGAAAAAAACATCTGTGAGAATTTATACTCATTCCAGGACTTTCAGCAATGAAGTTCCACAGAATAGGAAGAACTGAGAAAAGTATAAAATAAGCCAGCAGTTGACAGGGTGAGCTCTGCTAGTAAGCAAAAGGGTGAAGGAGTACAGTATGAAAGATACTCAAGGACAAGAGCTTCAAACTTCCAAGGAGAGGAAACAGAGAGGTGAGAGACGTCTGCAATGAGTTGAGAAGTCTCCAATGCCACCTCAGAAAACACTGATAAGCCGGGAATAGCAACAGAAGACCGTGTGAGAAGAGGCCAGGTGATGAACAGAGAGAGTGAGAGCTTAGGAACAGATACACCAGAAAGAATCCCACTGGAAGAAGAACAAGTGCAATCAACAGTCCTTCTGGTAAGTTAAAGTAGAGCTGCACTTGAGTGAGGACTGAAAAACAACAGAGAACACAAACCCCCCAAATTGTCCATAAAGCTATGTATCAGTATTAGGAAAGTGTCTGATGAATTGGATGCTGCATGGTACAAAGTATTAATACAGGATATAATGAGGTACGGAAAAGAGGTCTGATGCAAGAATTTTTCAAAAGAGGGGAAGAAATAGCTAAGAGGCAGAAGGAAGAGGAAACTAACAACACTTCTGCAGAAAATTTGATTCAGAGAATATCTTTAGGAGATTCACCCACCACCACATACTGTGTTGGAATACTTGTAACTGCTTTCTCTAAGGAGTCTCTTCAATGACATTCATTGACAATACTTAATTGTCACAAGTTGTTGCTGCACCTTATAAAGAGGAGAATCAATAATCTAGAGAAGGAATTCCTGAGATTAGGAAACTCACTCTAACCACATGTATATTAAGCATGTGTATTAAATTAGTGCTCAATAAGAACTATTTCAGTAAAAATCCCAACACCTTCATCACTATTTGCAATACAGCTACCAGCCTTCCAAACACAACAGAAGTAGTCATTTACTTGCTACTGCACTAGCTCTGTAAAACATGACAGTATATGCCCATTTAGATATTACTTGTTCTCGAGCTTTCTCCAGTTGTTGAACAAGGTCCTCCCGTTCATGTGCTGCAAAGTGGCGAGCCCCAACTTCATCATCTCCAAGTCGCTGCTTAGCTATTGTCATTCGGAGGAGCTGTGATTACAAAAACAGATTCGTTAAGCATGAGAACACAGGCTGTAGCATCAGAGTGCATCTGCATTAGAAAGAGTAAAGCTGTCGTGGATTTCATCTCTTCCAGGCCAAACAGATGGTATTATTTAGACGAGAGGGAATTTTCCGAGCTGAGGACTCAATCCTGTTCTCAGTGAAAAATTCCAGTCAAACACATCAACAGGAGCTGAATTAGACCCTGCAACAATAGTCACCAGAGTATACAAATGATGAAAGACCAAGTAAACACAGACACGTGGTCAATGATTTTTGGGAGTGACAGGAACTAATTCCAGTCAGACTACAACTAGAGAATTCTCAAAAAGCCATCTTCATATATAAACCTTAATATTCTCTGCAGCAGAGAACTCTTTCCAGTTAATAAAAAGGCATGAACTGGCTTGCCCAGCTTCATTTTAATGATACCACTTAAAATCTCACTGCGCTACATCAGTGAAGAATTTGCATTAACAGCTGCTAATACGTTTGCTTGTGCATTATTTTTTCATCTAATCACAAAAGTTAATTCACGTTAAAAACAAAAAACCAGGCCAACATCAAAAAGACTTGGCTAAAATGCTCAAACAGCTCTGTGACTGATGAAAACACTCTGACTTGAATTAATACACAGTTATATTCAATATTCAAAGCAAAAAGCAACTACCTTTCAAGGACCATGGAGAATTAAAATAACAGTCTACAAGGCATTCAGCATTTAAAGTTGTTCATACTGAGTACAGCTAGGCAAAAGTGTTGCCTACCCATGGCCTCATTTGTAGGAGCTCCACAGAGACTAGAGAAACCCACCACAATAACCAGCTTGACTTTCCATGTATCTTTGACTGCACCAAGGAATTAATGTACATCATTATATTGCAGAGATAGAAAAAAAAAAATCAGTCTTCTAAAGTAGAAGATTATACATTAAAATCTATCTTTGGTATTTATGGAATGCCAGTCACCATAGCTGCAATGTGCCAATTAAAATCCTGCTGATGCAAGAGAGACTACCAAAATCATCCTTGCCACTTATTTCAGCTCCAGTTCAGTGCAAGTCACTGAAGCTAGTACAGCTTGTTCTGATAAGCAGTTCATTTGTTGAGGGGAAGCTGTGCCCCCCAAAGTAACTGGTTTTGGCAAACTACATTTCCCTGTCCCCACAGGGAAAGTGCAAACCACTGCACAGTAAGTAAGGCAGAAAGGATCCTAGGGGATATAATTCCTATTAATTTCGTTATCAAAACAAATATGTCAAAAAGACAACTAGCAAATCCTGGAATGGCTTTATAGCTATAGGACTGGTTTCTTAAATGATAAAAGGCTGATGAACAAAAGGTATGGTAAAGTGATTTAATTCAGCTAGATTAATTCAATTTCTAGAATCTCTGGCTAGTGAGAAAGGCAGTAAGAAACAAACGTAGTAACATTCTGAGGACTCATTCTAGTTCAGAAAAACTGGAAATAGGAAGGGGAAATCACACTTTACCAATGCCTCAAATGCCCACAGCAGAGAAAAACTTGTGCATAATGCTCGGCACCAGGCTGGGAACTGGTTCAGAGCTGTGACTCATGCACTGTGACCAACTCTCCTCCAGCCCGTGAGAGGGTGAGACATAAAATGCAATTATAACTGCAAGCAATTATTACTTGCAAGGTCAACCAGTCTGCCAATAAAAGGAGAACTCTTTATTTACTACTAATTTTGAGATGACAAAAAAAAATAAATCTATGCAGTCTTATGAAAAGAATGCTTCCAAAATCCAAATTCAGCCCATAAAAGCAGCAGTATAAACATACATAAAATAAAATACCAATCCATAAAATGACAGTGCTTCTTCCAGACAGTTGGCCAATCAGAGAGTTGACAGGGTAGAACAGGCCAAGTCCTTTAATTCTGCATTGTGAATGTCTCATGAGGCAGCACCACCTGCTATAAAATTCTTCCCTGAAAATGCTGTAACCCAAAGAGACACTAAGTGTTATGCCAGAGGGTTAAGGGTTTATTTCATGTATTAGTGCTTTGTTATAAACTTTATACTCCTGCCCTCTGGATGCTGTATTTTTATTTCTGTCATTCAGAAATCACTGAGGAAAGGACCACTCAACTTCATTTTGCATCTGGAGCTACCCCCCAGGATTCTGTGAACAGCATCCGCAGTGGAGTAGATTCAAATTAACGGCACCTTACCAGAGATAGCTACTGCTTGTCAAGAACCCATAGACTGTTAATCAAAACAATCCTATGCTGCAAGCCACTAGTCTTTATCATTTTAATACCACTGCTTTGTCTTAATCAGTGTCAGCTAAAATAATTATTAATAAAGTAGTAACTCTGTAGCAGCCCCACAATGTCCCAAACAGGCTTCACTGGAATAGCTGCTCTGTAGGCTTGGAGTCCATAGCAATGCCTGTGCCAAAGCTGTTCATTCCTGATTACCAATAAAACAGGCAGAACAAAAAGTGAAACAAGCACAAACAGTAAATTCTTCATGGAAGGCAAAACCCATCATGTTAAGCCACAGTCACTGGCTGAAAAAGTGGATCAGAACTATGTAAATTTGCTACCTTAAGTCCCAGTTCTGCCAAAACATACGCACCACATTTAATATTTTGCACTGTTGCTGCATGAATGATTATCTGCCTTATAATAACAAACTGTCAGTAATGCTGCAGCCACTGTTTTCCATGCATCTTCCTCTTGCTTAACACTGCCCTCGACAGCTTACAAAACCATGTCTTTGCGTGGGTAGGAATTCAAGTGAAGGCAACTGAGTCATCTAGTCTTCCAGAAGCCTCCAGTTTCTCTTACGCTTTTCATTTTTACTCTTTATAAGAGAGAATTAGGTTTCCTAACTATCCTCTTCCATGTTTCAGTAATTGTTCTACAAGCATTGCTGCCAGAATGTTAGGAAGAAAAGATTTACAAATAACTATCACAAACATAAAATAGTTTTCATGTGTCAGAGCTGATAAGAGATTGTGATCAATCACAAAAATACGGAGTCTTAGATATCTGTTGCTGGAGCACTGCAGTGGAACTGTTTCTGTATTTCTCAAATTGCATCAACAAATCCTTCCAGAGACTGACTGCCTGTAGAAGTTTTATTATTTGTGCCAACAGAATACTAGTTGAAATTAAAAGAAAAAATTAGTCCAGTTAAACCAAATGCAGTAATTTGTCATTGCCTAACTGATGATGTACTTAACATGATTCAACAAGTAAAATGTCGCCAGTTTAAGGTCTTTTTGCTAATCCAAATGACTGTATCCTACTAGTAGCAAACATTAAAGCTGTGAAAAACAAGTCAAGCCATCAAAACATTTCTTTATCAATAGAGCTAATGTGTGATATTTAAAGAGGGTTTTTTTTTTCTTTTTTAGCCCTACAAAGCTCTTGCCACTCAGCGACAAAGCCTGCATGAGTCACCCCTGCTCAGACACAGGCAGAATTGTTCATCCATAAGCAGCTTCACTTGCTGCAAAAGCAGCTGTTTGTTCATCTCTTGCCAGAAGTAAGGTTGACGTAGACCAGCTGGGCAGGATGCCCTCCCTCACTTTGGAAAAAACAGAAAGAAGAATGCAGGGGGAAAAATGTAAGAACAAGCAAATTATTATAGTTCTTTGTTTTTGTATATACCATGCATTATCTGGACTCCAGTGCCTGAAGTAACCCAGCTGCCAGTACAGGAGAACTGATGAGCAGAACAGAATGGCTTCAGGAACAAGCCTCGAATTTTATCACCAAAGCTAGGAGGGAACAGAATCTGACACAGGAGGAGAGTGTTAAATCCCTCAGAGAGATGGCAATGCTTTTTTAGGCACTTCAAAAAACAGCAACCTGACTCTAAAATAAGCTCCATTTCTCATTTACTAGGAAAGTGAAGAATGTGTTCCAAAAATGAAAATCCTAGTCTAAATTAATCCCTGTCTGATGCAGTTCTTTCCTCCCCCTCTTTATTTAGTGATGCACTACTTTGCACCTTTTGGAGAGGCAGGGCAAGGTGGGCAGAATAACTCTTTTTGTATTTTTCCATTCGTGACGATAATCAAGAATTTAACTTCATGCTGAGAATACAGATGTCACAAAGATGACCAGCTAGTATCAAGTTAACCCACAAAGGCAAATCTAAACAAAGCCAGTTCAAGCACAAAGAAGTAGACTCTGTGTTACTAAGGTCATATTGTTATAAGGAATTGAAATAAGTATGTAACCTTGATATTTAAATATGTTACAGTTTTACTACCTTCGTGTTCTGTTCGTACTTACAAACCATTGTTATCTGTTCAGGACTGGCTTGGGAAAGGCTGTATGGCATAATATTGATACTGAAGAACTGCAAGGCACTGTCTTCTACACTGTAATAATTCAAACAATAACAGAAATGAAAAGAAACACTGGGAAAGCAAGTCTTTGAAGACTTGAGCAAGTTACACTGAATGCTATGTGTACTACAAATTCAGGTCTCGCTACCCTTTCCCAGCTCCCTGCATATCTTCACGGAAGTCTTTTGTGATAAACAATGAATCAGACTGCATTATCACAATATACTTATGGTTAAAACAAAATAAAATAAAATGAACTCAAATGGAAAGAAAAAAAAACCAAACACCTGAATACTTAAAAGCCACATCATTTCTATTCACATTTTAAAATCCTGTAACTTTAAAACTATAGTTGAGGGGGGGAAAGTTATAATACATTATTTGTTTAATTTTTTACTTCGTTAACCACCTTGATTCTCAAATTCAACCTCTCACTAGTTTGATCCCTGAATGTACTTTTGCATACAGCTCCAGCTGTGAATGTTACATACATTTGGCTTGAGTTTAAATATTTCAATTAACAGAGACAACAGGAGTTTGATTAATACCAAATGGCAGATTTTGAGCAATGTTCCATATAACTAGCTAAATTTAGCAATAAAATAATTGGTTATGTAAGGGTAATAGGAGGAAAGCTTAATACAAAGCTCACTGTGTATACTTGTGATCAACTGCTCCATATTTTTTAAGGGAAAAATTATGCTTTCCCTGGTTTTATCTACTAACATTTTGCATTTTCATTGCAAAAAAATTGAAAATTATCACATAATGAACATGACATGCTTATCTGTACTTATTTGTAAGAGGAAATACCACTACTGACATATATTTTTTTAAAAAATAAAGACAGTCTGAGATCATTAAAGCAAGACTAGGTGCAAAATACGTAGTTAAGGACAACAGAGCAAAAGCAGCATACAAAAACATATAATAAGCTGCATTTACTGGTATCCTGTACAAGCTCCTTTTGTTCTACTGTTTTGTGCATTTATTGTAATCAAAGCATTCTAGAAGTTCTGTAACCCACTGTTTTATTTGTTTTCCTAAATGAGTAAATGCAAAACTCCAACCGTTTATACATTCCATCCCGTTTACTGATAACAAAAGTTTATAATACCTTATTGTCCCCTTGTACTTCTCCCAGTCTCTGTTGAAGCTCTCTAATCTCTTCTCCAAGATGTTTATTTCGATCTTGAGCCTCACTCAGTAGTTGAGCAAGATTTGCCTAGAAAAGAAGTATCAGTCAGAAGTTAGTGCCTATGGAGAGAAGTATAAGTGGTGACTGAAAGGAAACCCTAGACTTACTCCTTAACTGCCAACAATCTTCACTTATATTGTTGTTGGTACCCAGACTTCATGCTTCATTAGAGAGATAACAACAAAAGTCACCAGGGCTCCTTTATCTTTAGTAGTAGGAAACACATATAGCATGTGTGCATACACACTCTCAGAGCAGCATACAAACCCCAAACAAGACAAAGTGAAAACATCTATGTTAGTTCTGGTATCTTGGCTGGTGGGAAGAGCAAAATGCAGAGTACTTTGACAATATTTATACAAAGTTGCCAAAATAAGAGTTTTGAACTTGCATATAATTAGGCAAAAGGCACAGCTGAGAAATAATTATGATATAATTATATTCCCTAATAGTGTTTAGAGCAGATTCCTAGCCAGTAAAGAGGATGCCAGCCACAGTCCCTGCCCCTATGCAGAGCTATACCATAGATATCTAGTAACACAAACATGACCTGACTTGTGTTGTTAGATGCTAGGTAGACATCTAGCAAAAGAGATGAAAACTAGAGATTAAAATCAAACACACCCTCTCACCCCATTCCCAAATAATCCAGGTCAAAAGTTATCATTCACATTAACCTAATAAATTAGGAGGGTGAGCAGTCTGTACTATATTTCTACAATAAAATTCCATCAGCTTTATCACTAACCAAAAAATAATGCAGTATCCTCTTTTCCTATCTAAGACATCTGAAAATGAGCAAATACTACACATGAATTTTTTTTTTCCCCTTAAAAATATCTCATGAATACACAAACGCTGACCCAGCACCAGCAAACCCTACTAGTGACATCTCTTCTAAGAGAGTTATAATCGGAGTGGCTAATGTGCAGCCTTTCAAGACACTGGCTATAGGCAGCTAGGCATGTCATCCATCGCCATAAATCTGAAGGGTATAAAAAAAAAAAAAAAAAAATTTCAGATCTAAGCGTGACTTAAAGCCCCATGAGTCAACATTTCTAAGATACCCTTACACCTGCTCCCTGGGTTTGAGGCCAATACATCAACTGACTGTTCCTAGTTGTCTCTTGGTATTTGAGGTTTAGTTTTAGATTCCCTATTTGTTTTTCTTTTTCAGCTGCCCCATCACTCTATTTTGATATCTCTCTTTCACTTTCAGTCCTACTCTTTTACTCAGTCATTCTCACTACCACTTGATAGTCTAAGAGAATGTTGTGAGTTTTCTCTTTAAAACTCATATACTATCAAACCAACAAGGTGTCTGATAGCCATTCCTGTAATCTTTCCCTTTGTTTACTAAAAACTGCTATTTCCACATGTCCTCTTTTGTATTTAAGAGAACTATTAACATGAATATAGCTATATATGCATCTGACCATTTGCAGGATTAGACTATTAAACTAACCAGCTAGAACTTTTGTAGGCTACTACAAAAGGCTACTATGAAAAGGCCGACTCTGAATTCCAATTTGTCTAAAATAGCAATAGCCTTAAACTTTTAAACAGAAAAAATAACTTGAGAAAATGTTATGTCCTATCTGATGAACAACAAGCTTAATTCACTGCTACAGCTTCTGTACTTCTGGTGCTCTGAGACCAAAGGTTCAGAATAAGGTAAGTTTCTCCACAGTTCTGGAATGGATTAAAGCACCTATTTAAACTACTGATAAACCTGAAGCCTGAAGACTGCACATAAATAATCTGGGAAAAGAATGCAATAGTAAAAAATGTAAATAGCCAATTATAGGCCCAAAATTAAGCTGCTTTTAATTTTATTTTCAAGACTGCAACCATTCAAGCAATGCAAAAGGTTCCTCAAGTATGCTTTGGTAGAATGATATTTTTTTTCCTACACATTACACAAATGTGTAATAGTCATTCATATAGTGAATGAATCAAGGAGCTTCAGAGCACATTCAGTCAATGATTCTGAGGGGTACTTAATGGCTGTTTAAAAGAAAGAAAACAAAGAAGCCATGTTTGCAGGAAACTCTATTTAAGTATCGAAGGCTACTGCTCAGATGCAATTTTCTTTTTTTTTGATAGCTGACTTTCAATAAAGGCCATCCCACCACCAGACTGAGTTACTTAAAAGGAACACGATTTGTACAAGCCTCTCTGAAACACATGTATTTATGAAGTCCCTTTTTATGATGAATTTGAACAATTCCTAACACTTCAATAGCACATGTAATTTCAACACCTGGGAAGAACTCAATCTCACTAATCAGTGTTTACAGCCACACCACCAGGATTCTAGTAGTCTGTAGTCAAAATCCAGCTCCCAGTAACTGCAGGAAAGGCATTACCATGCCTATACTAAATCTTCCTGCTCAGATTTATTTCCTTTAAAACCGTTTCTCTGGGATTGCAATTCTATGCTGAATTTTATTTGTCAGTCATATAAATGACTTAACGTGACAAAAACCTTTATACTCAAGACAAGGATTTTGGAAGAAACTTTAAATGAAGAATTTTAGACACCAAAGTAAAACAGACTCATTGAAGCGTGCTAAGAGCATTACAATTAGCTAAGTATAGACTTGCTCCTTTAATGCAAAGCTTCTATTATACTTCTGTTAAACTAAAACAACTAAGCTATGTCACAGAAGTAGTCTCCAGCAATTATTCATTTCCCTGGCTTAGAGGTTCTATACAATGTATAATTTAGATTGTTCTGAGTTTTAAAGGTTTTGGCAAGACCTCATTAAAGCTCTCGGTTAACTGTGGATAGAAGGAGAAATATTTGATTTTCAAAAGTGCTCTACTGGGCTTAAAGAGAGCCAGCCAAGAGGATATGTTGAACAACACCTGAACTTGGTACCATTTCTTTGGCATATATAAGAAAGTATACCATATGGTTGAAAGATGATAAAACTAACAATGGAGGACTGGCTTCGTGAACCTGTAAGCATGCATTTTTTGAGGAAAGGGGAGAAATCTATGCAAGGAGAAAGGTGATTCATTTTTCCACCTGGCAACTTCTTTTCAATATTCATAGAACAAACACAGAATTCACTTAGAAATTCAAGACAAGTTACTTCAGCAGACAATAAAGCTCATATCATTTACCTGTGCAACAGAGAACATTAGCCAAATTCAGCTTCTCTAGATTCAATTTCTTCAACAGTTCTTCTGATTCTAGCTGAAGCCTCAAAAAGACTCCTGTAACTGTCAGAGACTTTTCTTCTTTCACTCACACCATTCAAAATAATGCCAAAACTAATGCCAAATACTGATGAAGAGAGATTTCTCAGCCATGGGTAATGGGATGAAAGAGGTCTATACCTTTCTGCTGCTTCATCTTGTCTTGCCTCTGCAACAACCCACAGCAGTGGAAACTATTTGTTTATCCTACCCTCTCTCAATGCAACTGTTTGTAATACTAAATAACAGATACTGCTTCATTCAAGTCCCTGATTAACTGCCTAGTATCAGACAATCTTCCTAGAGCTCTGTCCACCTCTGGCGACATTCAGTTTCCAGCAGGTATTCTTTAGCCTCTGCAGTATGACAAGCTATTTGTTTTACATCCAACTGTCACAGGAAGCTTGCATGTATCACAGAGTATCTCCAGTTGGAAGGGCCTATCAGGATCATCAAGTCCAACTCCCTGTTCCTTACAGGACTGCTTAAAACTAAACCATATGACTAAAAGCATTATCCAGACACTCCTTGAACTCTGACAGGCTTAGTGCTGTGACCACTTCCCTGGGGACCCTGTTCCAGTGACCGACCACCCTCTCAATGAAATATGATTTGAGCGCAGTCCAAACCCCCACTGCAATACTAGACATAAGAAACCATGCCCATATTCCTTTTTCCTCTGACCACAAGCAAGCGCGACCATAGCCAACAATCCCACCAGAAGCTAGAAAGAAAGGAGAAAAAGACCAATGTGAAAGTGCTGAGTGGGAAGTGCCTTTCTTTATTTCATAAGGTGAAAAAAGCACCATAAATCAGAACAGCCCGGAGAGTGAAAGATTCAATAGGATGGGATCACAGATCTCACCCTTTTCCACTTAGACTTTGTTAAAATTTGCAAGAACATTTTTGGCATAGAAGGTGGAAGAGAACCTTACTTTTAACTACAGATGAGCATCTGAAACTATTGACAAAAGTACCTATAAATATTTATAAACATAAGCTAGTGAATACCTCTCAGACAGCAACAAATCTTTGCTCACTACTCACCAATGACCCAAGAAGAAGGGGGTAGGGGGAAAAAAACAAAAACCTAACTCCAAATAGTTACCCCTGGCATTAAGCACTACGCTTGAATTTGGCTCCTTTAACAATTTTGCAAATCTAGCCACACACACGCACAGTGTTATTTTTCTTCCCACCACTTTAAAAATGATGGATAGTAACACAGTCTTTAATATAGCTCTCAATTCTCTTGCACATAAATCTTATCTGACACTTAAAAAAAATATAAAAAAAGGACTTTCTACCTTTAGATACTGCCTGAAAAAGTAATTTGGCAAGGGGGAAGAGGGGGAAGCTTCCAACATACCTTTACAGTTTAAAAATATTTTTAGATACAAACGAGCATTTCTATACTGCAGTTTACAGTCTTTTATGTTTCTTTCAGCCACACCTTCAAACGAAGAACACTGAATTATAGGGCTGACAGAAAAAAAAGTTTGATGAAACATTAAGCACACTTGATAGGTGTGACTGATAGGAAATTTAATTGCAGTTTTTCCTTCAATACATTCATATGATTGTAATGGCTGAATTAATACAGAAAAACCTGCTGTGCTTACCAACTACCACTGTTCACTCCAAGGTAACCTCCCCTAGCACTAGACTCCTGACAGTAAAAAGCAAAAATTATTGTCTTTTTCTTTAAGTTTAAAAACCATGTAGAGAAGACTTCTGAAATTAGAGGTCCTGAGCATACTAAACAAAATATACTTAATATTAGTCATATTTCCTCACTGAAAAACAAGGGCAAAAATCCA